GTCTGCAATGATTAGACATGTTTTTTATTATTGTCATTAGTGATTATCTCAATTTCGGCTAAAATAATTGACAAAATCCTACACACTGTGCCTTTAGTTAAAGAACTTACAGTGTTAAACTCAGGCAGCAACCTGTAGGACCAACTGTGGGACTCGATATTTAGTTTTTGATAAGTGTGAAGTTGGTTTGCTTTTCTCTGATTAAACAAATTCACCCTATAGGTGGAGTTTCAACAGGAGGTTTAAGAATGAGATCTGTCATCTGAATGTATAAAAATGAAGCTGGTCACTCTCATCAGGATGATGGAGCCCCCCCTCTCTTGAAAGACCAGCTGCTGGTCTCGGGGCCTCTTTGTGCTCGTCTTTTGTAATGAGCTGCCATCTGGCTCTGTTGGCTGTGCAGGGACCGCTCTCCTCTGCCTGTGATGCTCAGAATGAATATGACAACACCTTCGCTGCCGCTCCTTCCTCATTGGACGGAGGCAGACATCCCCTCCCTCGGTACATATTCTAATGCACATCCGCCTCCCATTGGCTCCGTGCTGAGCAGTCACGCCCCCCACTCACACCCCGGGAGTCGATTCATATTAATGAGTCAGGCTTGTATGTGCTTTCTACATCTGCTTGTGGTATTGTGAAGCTTTGGAGCAAAAGGGAGGGCTGACAGGAGTAGCAGGAGTAGCAGGAGGAGGAGGAGGAGGAGACTGCAGCCATGTCAGATTGCTGTGAGCCGGACGGCGTCTGACAACACGCCATGGCCATGTCGCTGAGCGCAGACGATGAGGACTACGACTCAGACTCGGAGCAGGTTAGCACACTGACACCCAGCAGGGCGGGCGCGGCGAGGCAGCATCCACGGGAATGTCTGCCGTTCTCGCGGCGTGCAGCGTCGCAGGGCAGCGAGGAGACGGAGCTGCCTCGAGACAAAAGCTTCGAGTCAAGTCTGTCTGACAGGTTACAGAGAACCTGACTGTTTTATTACCAGGCCTTAATCATGATGCTGATTTATTTTCTGGGTTTGGTTTATTTTATTTTAAAGTGAGGAACACTCATGAGAAGACACAACATGAATCACGCATCTTCATAAACAGACATTATCACACATTTTTTAAATTGCAGCTACGATTAATGTGTTTTAATTCTCATATTAACATTACCTACATTAGAGCCACATGTCCTTTTATTAAATATTTGACTGCGTTTGGGGGTAAAAACTGACCAGTTTCAAGTTTTAATCCAGTCTTGTTGACACACACCTGTTCTTGTGAAATGTGCTCAACGTGATGCTTAAAGGCACGCCGAGCTAAAGAACTGTTAGGATGTTAAAACCAAACTTGAGGATCAACCTGTCGTTTAATTTAATGTTTACAGACCCGTCGTGGGAGGTTTTGTTGAAGCTTACACTTGTTTTGATCTTTGTTTTTTTTTTTCCTCTCCAGTCAGTAGTTTCTAGAAAAAGAGAAGTCGTAATTCTTTCTGGTGGAAGAGTTTATATATATTTTCTACAGCCCTGATCCATCCTCAGTATATTCTCAGTAGATCTTTCTCATTTCATCTTAATAAATGTTTTAAAGTGAAAGAAATGGTCTGTTCTGTACGCGAGATGGATATAAACAGCTTGTAATGTCTGTCTTCAACAACTTGCTGATAAAAACTGAGACTTGTCAGGATGTTTTGTTATTTATGTCTGTGTGTCAGAGGGACATCACCCACTTATCTGTCAGTGGGGAGGGTGAGGAGGTTAGAGGGATCAGTTAGGGATCTGTAGTTTTAGTGAAAGTGAACAAATATAATCCACTGTTTCTGTTTTTTTGCTGCACTTAGTCACTAAACTTGTTTGACAAATCAGGATATGTTGGCTTATTTGCTGTCCTGTCAGTGTTCCTCCTCTTGTTAATCCCCGTGAACCCCCACCAAAGCAGTCCAGTGCAGATTGAACAAGCCCCCTCCCGTTCTTCTAATCCTGTCTAAGCACAACATGGGACCGTTTTATCAGCTCATTGTTAAAAGAAGCTTTCTGTAACGTGCCCAAGATTTCCCACACTCGCGTTGGTCTCTGTCAGAGGCTCCCGTTACAGTGCTCATTGGTTACAAGTACGTGTGTGTCATACACTGTTCTGTTAGGGAATGGGATGTGGCTGTTGCTATGCTGACACCAGGAAAAATCTGCACTGCTGATGTAACTAAAGAAATCCAGTCCTCATTTCCAGGAGCTGCAGTGAATCTCACCTCCTGCTCCGGTTTGATTTTCCTCTCTCTGCCGCTCATTGTCTCATGTGTTAGATGTTTTTTTTTTAAACAAACAACACATTGCTGTGGGTTTTTTTTTTTTTTTTTGGCTCTCATCCTGTGAGGGAGCAGAATGATTTCACAGAAACAATAACGATGCTGATCAAAGACGTATAATCTCCCCACTTGTTTTAAGTGGAGCACATTTTGATAATCTGCACTGCTGGGTGTCAGTCTGCGTGCTCCCGTAACACAGAACAATGGGTCTTCAGTAGGCATGTGTGAGATGTAGTCAGAAGTGGAGCTTCTCTTTGAAGAGGAGAAATGCAAGCCAGCGAGGTGCTAAATTTGGAAGGCGTCTTCAGGGACATTTTTTGATGTTTGTTTGCTCTTGTCCTGTAGGTATGAATCATGTGTTTACGACCAGGAGGGTTTGATCAGGTTTGCTTTCTGTGGCTAGAAATTGCATGTGTGCATATAATTGTTTTGCGCCTTTGTCTATTAAAGAACTATAACCAGAAGAAAGAGAGATGCTGATCAGAAAGGAAAATACAGACACATGCCAGCTATATTTATCAGAATATTTAAATTTCTTTATGATGTGTCTTTCTAATGTACATTTTATGATAATTATCACTTGCCGACAAAGGCAAAGGTGATTGTTTTTGCCCTTATCTGTCTGTTAGCAAAATATCTCATGAATCACTGGATAGATTTTAATGAAATGTTAAAACGGTAATCACCGGATGTGCATCTACAACTCATTACACTGCAAAAAATGTCCATCTTACCAAGTTTTAAAATCTTATATCAGCCAAAAAGTCTTTTTGATCTTGTTTTGAGACTGATTTACTAAACAAGAACTGATTGTGTAAGAATAATAATCTTGTTTTCAGAATGTGTAAGATTATTTGTCTTGTTAGTCTGAAAATTTGACTCAAATTAAGTCAAAATATCTGCAGTGGAGTAAGAAAAATTTACTTGGTAAGATTCTTGAAATAAGAAAAAACTGAGTCAAATCAAGTATTTCAAGAATCTTACCAAGTAAAATTTTCTTACTTCATTGGCAGAACTTTTTGACTTAATTTGAGTCAAATTTTCAGACTAACAAGACAAATAATCTTACACATTCTGAAAACAAGATTATTATTCTTACACAATCAGTTCTTGTTTAGTAAATCAGTCTCAAAACAAGATCAAAAAGACTTTTTGGCTGGATATAAGGTTTTAAAACTTGGTAAGGTGGACAGTTTTTGCAGTGTATCGGTTCAAATTCTTCTGTTCATTTCTTCAAATAATGTTAGACATTTAATTAGTCAAACTTACATTTTTTTTAAAAGTTTTAGTTTTTTATTTTTTACACCCGATAAAATAAAATAATATCAAAATATGCAAAAGATGCAGACTATCAACTAGTAAAATATATGTCAGCTTATTGTTTTGTTTTTTTTTTATTAAGGAAATTGACACTGTATCCTTGTCGCCCCCTCCAGCCTCGGCCTCCCAACCGGCCGAAACCCAAGATGGCGGCCTCCCCTGCCTCAGCGGTCAAGCTGTCGGCCAGCCGGGGAACATCTGGTGCCAGGAGGAGGAGGACCCGCTGTCGGAAGTGCGAGGCCTGCCTGCGGACGGAGTGCGGCGAGTGCCACTTCTGCAAAGACATGAAGAAGTTCGGCGGGCCGGGCCGAATGAAGCAGTCCTGCATCATGAGGCAGTGCATCGCTGTAAGTACAAATCATGATCTTTCAAAGGCTTTTTTTTAATTGGCTGACAATGAGAAGATTTACTCTAATCTTCCAAATAACAGAAAAATAAAAAAAATCTTAAACATTTTAGCCAAAACAAACAAAAAATAAGTAAATTACTGTTAATATTTAGGCCCTTTGATACAACACACAGAGCAAAGGTCTGATGCATTAGTGGTCTCCATCAATCTAAAACAGAGGAAATCTGAAACCAATAATAGACTTTTATTGATCCGACTGAGTAATCAGGAGCAGAGGGCCTTGGTCAGACAAGCTGCTAACAGGCCAATCATCAACGTGAGAAAAAAAACCAGAGTTCTTCACGAAAGCACAACCATTAGTGTAGCAGCTCTCCAGTAAATGATGGAGGTTGTCTGCTGGGAGTTTGACTCAGAGCTCCCTATTAACTCACAGACCGCTGAAACAATCATCCTCAGGCCGGAGAAAGAAACAGTTTGACCACAATATTTCTGCAGTCAGACACGGTTAGGGCAACGTAAAGGCGTGGAGGTTCCATGCACAATCATTTATTAACCTTTATTTTACCAGGAGGTCAATTTAGAACCAGTTGGGTTTTATAACGATTTGGTCAAAAATATATATTACATCACATTGACTGGAGAGCAGCGGAAACATAAACAAACTGCAACAATGTGACTGGATTAGAAGAGCAGTCATGTATTGATGCATTTTTATTTAGATGCATTGGTTTGTTACATCTTTGCAACAATAAAATCTGATCCGATTCATGTTAGATGAAAACAAACTAGCAGAAGAGTTAAAAAGTTGCAGTTATGTTTAAGAGTTTCTCATCTGGTTGCAGTTCCTGCTGTTTGCAGCTTTTATTTTCTCCTTAGTGACACCTGATGTTTATGAGAGCTGCAGTATTAGAGGTTGAAATGTTTTGTGTTGTACCAGTTTTTTTTCAGTGTCTTTGATAAATTGGATTGTTGGCAGGATATTGGGATGCATCTTATAACTATCGGAAATGTATTTTTTTTTCCCGACTCAACATTTCTGAGTCAGGCAAAGGCTGAGCTGAACTCTGAATCATAACTGTTCACAATGTAGCAGAAAAACTTGCACAAACTTGCAGAAATTTGCACAACTGTGACCCACGTTTTCCTCACTTTCTCTTCTGTTGGTACTGATTAAAACCAGTCGTGGGCATCAAAACAGTTGGATCTGTCAGATATATTATTAACATGCAGACACTCCTGCGCTCACAGATATTGAGTTGATCATAAATCTTAGCTAGATCGTGCAACCCTGTTCACGATATCGACTCGCTGCAAATATACTCCAAACAGTTCACACGACTGGCTCATTTTATTGGATCATCTTGAGAGGAATTAGGCCAAGGTGCAGAGTAACTGTTTGTTTTCCCCTGTAGTGATTTGTTGCTTTTGTTTCCTCCTCAGCCTGTTTTGCCCCACACAGCCGTGTGTCTCATCTGCGGCGAGGCGGGAAAGGAGGACACGGTGGAGGACGAAGAGGAGAAGTTTAACCTGATGCTCATGGAGTGCTCCATCTGTAATGAGATTGTCCACCCTAACTGTCTGAAGGTAACCTGCTCAGTTTTATCATGCAGCGTTCTCACAGCTGTTGAGTTGTTATCTGCCAACCTCCTGGTTAAAAGTCTGCGTGCGATCGTTTTGTTCAGGTCAAAGATTCAAACGGATTAGTCAACGATGAGCTGCCAAACTGTTGGGAGTGCCCAAAGTGCAACCACGCGGGAAAAACTGGGAAAGTAAGCATCAATTTTTGTCAAACCGATGAATTCCTCAAACAGATGACTTCACTGATGTGTCGCAGAGCCAGAGAAATAAAGTTGTCCTCTCCGTTTTTTCTAAACTTTTGGCCACAAAGCAAAAAAGGGGGCCAGGATTTAAGTATGCCTCGAACCTCCCCGGCTCCCTCCTCAAAGAGCCGCGCCTGAACCGGGACCCGAAAGAGGAGCCCGACCCGCTCCCGGCGCTGGCTCCGCCGCCCGCCGCCGCCCCCACGCCGACGACCGCCGTGAAAAGGAACGCGGAGCGGGAAGTCACCTCGAAGAGGAGCGACGAAGAGCCCCCAAAGAAACGGCCCCCCCTGCTGTGTCTGGACGGCGTGCCACGAGCAAGAGTCGACGACAATCCGCTACGGAAGAAAAGGAAACTGTTTGACACCAACGATGAACCTGTGATTGTGAAAAAGAAGGTGAGACTCTTGTTTTTTTTTTTGTGGATCCATGTTTTACTACAAAAACAGTTGCATTTATATGTAAGATTCTTAGTTTTGTTTAAGCCAGGGATATTCAACTGGTGGCCCACGGGTGACTTTTTGTTTGGCCTGCCAATAGGAATAATTTTTTTTAAATTGATTCAATTTCACTTATTTTAACATAAACATAAATTTGACATCAGTTTTAAATTTATGAGTCAATGCAACAAAATAAACAATTTTAAAAGGTGAAAGATAGTTTTTTTTCTTTTAAATAAATACCCCCATGATCGGGCAACCCCCCCCCCCCCACATCTCCCTGAGCTGTTAGTTTTGAGTAACTGTGGCCCATTGAGCAATTTAGTTTAATAGCCCTGGTTTAAGCCATAAATGTCTCATATAATGTTAATATATTAGTTCAGTTTTTCTCAAACCCTTAATCCTGATTTAAGGTGTAAAATGTGATGGTTTCATGCGTTCATTTCTGAGAACAGCACCTCATAAACAGCAGTCTCAGCATTTCTTTTGCTCCACATCAGCTGCACCTTTTGTTGCCGTCAGTTCTTCTAGAGACTTCAGATGCTGCTTAAGCTCCATTAACATGTGGGTTAGTCATCGTCCACTCCAGTTTCCACAAATAAACACCAAACCTTTTTAGTTTCGAGTAGTTTTTATTTGAAGCCAAGATCTTATTGTGCTCTGGTTCTTTTTACTTCACAGACTAGCTCATTAGAGTTAATTAACTTGTTATTTCACTTGCAAATAATTGACACCAGAGTTACCACTAGAGGGACCCTGAGCACCACCAGTGGTACTCTTATCTTGGTTTGAGAACCCTGGGTTTGGATTTGGTCTCCGTGTCTCCACAGGTGGCTTTTTTAGGCTCAGATTTATTTTTATTTTTATTTATTTATTTTGAAATTTATTCATTTCATTTGAAGCAATTATATACACAACAAAGGACAAAAATCATACAATCAAAATGAAATGAAATGAAATGAAAGGCAGCAGAAGAAGAATAAATCTTATAATATCTGCCCCTTTTTTATCCCCAGATTATGTTCAAAATGAAAGTAAATTACAACAAAAATCAAAACAACTGAAAACACAAAAAACAAAGCTAAACCTAAAACTCAAACAACAATTTGCATGGATTCACTTATGCTTCTCCATATTTCTTCAGAATACTAGATTTTATCATTATCTTTAATATATACAAAGATTTGGAATTTTTAACCTCATCTTCCAGACCGTTCCACAATCTTAATCCCTGGATTAAAGTGGATCGCTCCTTCAGGCTCATACGAAACTTATATATAACAAAATAACTAAATTTATATATGACTCAACATTAAGATGCACGTGTGGGTTTTCAGTGGCCACCACATTAAAACATTTCTGAAGGTGGTGCTGGCTGTCGCTTATCAAAATATGAATTAAATACTTTTATCATTCATGCAGCCTGACTGGGATTAATTTCAAATTCTAGTTATTGTTCTTCCACTCTTTTCTAGAAAAAGCCTTCGAAACCAGAAGATCTGTTCGGTTTGAAACTCTTGCAACACATCAAGGCAGAGAATGATCATGGCGATGAAGACGAGGACCAGGAGGATCACGAGGAAGATGGGTTAACTTTGGACAGGACGCGTTTCAGGGAGAAAAGCGAGTACGACGATGAAGTGCAAGAAGAGGATAAAGAGGAAGAGGAGAATGTCACGAAAGGGAGAGACGGTAGTGCAGAGGACAAAGCTAAAGTGCTGATAGGTCCCCTGCTGAGAACTGCTTCAGCCAGAGAAAGTGACCATTCGTCCTCCAACTCCCCCAGAGCTGGACCCAGCAGCGAGTCAGGAGACGTCCACGAGAGGAGCCCTGCGCAGCTCAAAGCTCGCCACCAGCGCCGGCGTCTCCCCAACAAAGGACCGAGCAAAGAGTTCAGCCTGGAGGTCGTCAAGTCGGAAGACTTCAAAAAGCACGCCGCAGAGAAGACGGACAACAACTCGGCTGCTCACCATCGCAGGCAGCTGAAGACTGAAGACTCTGTGACCAATCAGAACTGTAAACCACTAAAAACAGAAGACCCGGCCACCAATCAGAGTCGCCGAGCCCTTAAAGCGGAGGACGGTGTGGCCAATCACCACCGGCAGCCTCTGAAAACAGAAGACTGTCTGACCAACCAGAACCACAGTCCGGTAAAGTCCGAACCCCAGAGCGAAGCGGAGGACCACAAACCGAAGTGGCCTCTAAATAACGGCGGCAGTGATCTGGGGGACTGGCTGAGGCACAGGGGGCGGGAGGCGTACGGGACGCCGCGGGCCTGCTCCCCTCTCAGCTGGAACAGAGGCCCGCCCATCACGCCCATCTGTGCCCGCCCCCTGCCCCGGCGGTCGCCCCCAAAATGCATTCAAATGGAGCGCCACGTGATCCGACCCCCACCCATCAGCCCCCCGCCCGACCGGCTGTCGCTGAACAGCGGCGAAGCGCACGTGATGCGGCGGGAGACGTGGATGAAAGTGTTCAGCCACCTGACTCACAAAGACCTGTGCGTCTGCATGCGGGTGTGCCGGACGTGGAACAGGTGGTGAGTACCAGACCCACCCAGCTGCTGAGAACCAAGGGTATAATAGCTTTGGATTTTTCATTATATTTTAGTTTGATCTCATTGTGACCTTTTTTCTTTTAATTTAGTTAGTTTTAATGAGATTTTACAGTGGATTTGATMGTTTTTATTAGTTATTATTGCATTTTTAATGCTTAAGGGCTCGACACACGGGCAGCGACAAACTACAGCGATTAGCGGCTGTCATCGCAGCCAGGGTGAAACCCGACACATGGGACGCGATAGCGATCGCAGCGTTGCGAATCGCGCTCTCAGGTCGCTTGTCTTCACGAAATTTGATTGGTTCTTGACTCTGAAGGTGGGTGTGCATTACGGACGTGTAAACTAAACAAATCTTGCAATGCTAATATTGAAAAACAAACACACATCAAGATACAATTTTATGAGGAAAAACTTACCATAAACTTCACCCTGGTGCCAATAAATTCCCACAAAGCTTTTTAGTAATCACTTGGTGAAAGTGTTAGCTAACTGCAGTGTGTAGCATACTCTCCTCTCATTGATCAGTCAATGAAACCTTCGCTGATCGGTTGTACGCTAAGCGACAGCGACAAAAGTTGAACATTTTTCAACTTTCATATGTCGCGTCGCAAGCTCGCGTGTGTACGTCTACGAGCGCGAAATTTCACATGCACTATTTTCGCCGGTCGCTTAGCTGGAGGAGGGCAAGCGATTGTCGCCTCACCGCACAGCCTCCATAGGAAATGAATGGAGAGCGAGCGACGTTGCCTCCCGTGTGTCGAGCCCTTTAGTTGTAGTTTAGTTGTTATTAGCTCTAGTATTAGTTTTTTTTAATAGTTTGAATAAACATATTTGCCAATGCATCCTCAAGCTTGTGATGTTCCTGTGAGTTAAAGGGGCAATATTATGTGTTTCTCAGGCATACATTTAAATACTATACCATAATAAAGTATCTATGTCACCTTTGGCTGTTATTAAAATGCTGTTTTTATGTTTAAATAGTAAATAAACTTATCTTCCCATCACTTCCTCTTGCAAACGCCTTGAAATTGGCCCTCTGTCTCTTTAAGAACCACCTTCCGCTTCGGGACGGGACGGGGGGGGGGGGGGGGGGGGGGGGGGGGGGTTGCCATGATGAAGTTTACTTCAAGGAGCTCAGCAGACAGTTTAAGTTTCACTTTCACTTTCACCCGAGAGCCTGCAGGAGTCATGGGGAGGGGGGCGCCCTGCCATGAGGAAGCTCGGCTTAAAGACATGTCCCAGGGGCGTTTCTGGTCCTCAAAGGCATTTCTGGTCCCCACCTGTCGTTTTGCTCCTCAGCATGGCTGCCTAAAAACGCTGCAGGATTTCTCAAACATGCATGAATGAGTCAAAGCAAGACTTTGGGCATATTTTTTATGAGAGTATAACATTATAACGTGATATAAAACTAAAAAAAAATAGATTTCACATGATATTGCCCCTTTAAAGCTTAACTAGTTAATTACTAGCTAAAGCAGTCCATTATGGTGACACCTTAATAAAATAATTGCGTAACTCAATTTTGCCCACTAAAACCTTGGGCGATTATTTTAGGATGATGATAATAGTTGTCTCCAACCCGGTGCTACCTGTTGCTTATTTCTCTTGGGAGCTACTGAGAGAAGCTAGCGTGTCAATTTTAGTCATACTTAGCCATCTTGTGTGAGCTTGATTCATGCAGTTTTTCCCTTGAGAAGCATTCCACCTGTTTTATCACCTGTTTTTACTACAACACACTTGCTTTTAATTGTCTCACAGTCATATTCAAAGAAATCCCAAAGTGGATGTTGTCGCTTTCTCCCAACTTTTGTTGTCGTCATTTGGCAGACGATGCTGAGCAGCAGACTGTAAACAAGTGTTGTTACGGCCCACAGCTAATATGAAACTACTCAATTTGAGAAAAAAAAGATCCACGTTTCAAAATAAATTGAAAAATACTAAGGATTTTCTATCCTTTTTCTATATTAATTCAGTTAGTTTTAGTTACTTTTGTAAAAAGATTATACAGTTTTAGTGAGTTATCATTTTTTTCATCTTATTACAGTTTTTATTTATTTTAGTTAACTAAAATGTTTTTTCAATTTCAGTTTTCGTTATTGAGTTAGTTTTAGTTAACTATAATAACACTGCTGAGAACCCCCGAGCTCGACTGGGCAGGCGTTCTCATGGCCCTATCTGCTGCGCCTCTCCTCAGGTGCTGCGACAAACGACTCTGGAAGCACATCAGCCTGAACCGCTGCAAGGCGATCACGCCGCTCATGCTGAGCGGCATCATCCGGAGACAGCCTGTAGCTCTGGACCTCAGCTGGACAAACATTTCTAAGAAGCAGCTCAGCTGGCTCATCAACAGACTTCCTGGTAAACAAATTCAATCAGCGCAACAGATTTGTTTTTGTATGATCAGCGTTGTTTCTTTGTCATAATAAGAGAGCATCGTTGTGTGGATTGATGCCGCTTGTTTCCAGAGGGAACGGAGAAGAAAAGTCTTTATCGGCTGACCGGTTCTTTGTGGTCCCGCTCTCCGCAGGTCTGCGTGTGCTGCTCCTGTCGGGGTGCTCCTGGGTGGCCGTCTCTGCTCTCTGCACGTCCAGCTGTCCTCTCCTGCGAACGCTGGACATCCAGTGGGTCGAAGGGCTAAAAGACGCCCAGATGAGAGACTTGCTGTCCCCACCCACAGATAACAGGCCAGGTAGAGTTTTAGTTTAAACTTTTGTAGAGGAATGGATACAGAAAAACTCAGATTCTGCACCTTTTTTAAATGAGTAAACATATAAAGGGTTTATAAAGTATTTTAACGTAACAATCAATCTTCACTATTTTCCTTCTGTTAATCTCCTTTCCTTTCTTTTGTTGTTGTTGTAGGTCAGTTAGACAACAGGAGCAAGCTGCGGAACGTGGAGGACCTGCGTCTGGCCGGGCTGGACGTCACAGACACGTCTCTGCGCCTCATCATTCGCTACATGCCTCTGCTATCCAAGCTGGACCTGAGTTACTGTAACCACGTCACCGATCAGTCCGTCAACATCCTGACCGCTGCGGGGACGACCACCAGAGACTCGCTCACTGACATCAACCTGTCAGGTACGAGTCTGTCTTCACTGGCTCTGAATCGGACTTCATTAGACTCTTATCTGAATTTAAATCTTTACCTTTAGTCGTGGAACGATACGGGTGTCTTTGCATCTTTCGCTTTATTAAAGGGATTCCTGATTAGTTGTGAAATTAGACTTTATTTGATAAACATATATTTTAACTGTAAAATAAAGTCTGTAAAAATACTGCAGGCTGTTTAGTTTTGTAAATTTAAAAAAATATATTTTAACACGATTGGAGACATTTTATTTACACGCAAAGCATTCTGGGTAAATGATGACGTGGATAGGTCCTCGGTGCGAGGCTGCTAGTGAGCTATATCCACCCTGAAGGTTAATCTTGGACAATATCTGATGATCGACTCTTTTAAATGAAACCAGAGAGCGTTGACAGAGAGGAGAAGGTAGAAATGACTCAGCCTGTAACTGAAAATATAGATGGAGGACAACAGAGCTGCTTCATGGAAGAAGAACCTCAGCCTAGCCTGTTAGCCTTCGCGCTAGCGCCTACGCTATATTGCTTTATATGTATTAGCTCGGTGCTAGCGCGACAAACTAACAAGCTAAACTGTTGTCCTCCATCCATATTTTCAGTTGCAGCTGAGTCATTTTTGTGTTCTCCTCTCTGTCATGTGGATGGAGGACCTCAGTGATGAGAGGAAAATGTGTAGCGCTGAGCTAATACATATATATGGTGATAGCATCAGGGCTAATGCTAAAGCTAATAGGCTAAACTGAGGTTCTTCTTCCATGAAGCAGACACTGTGTTCCCAAACTTTTCAGTTTTTGACCCATAAAATCATGGTAACCCCCCAAATAAACAACTGCATAATGACAATATTTATTAGGCTAATTTAATCTATTTGTAAGTAACTGATGTAAAAACTAACGCAGAGAAAGGACAATAAAAAACATTTATTCATTAACAATAAAAACCAGCTCTGAGCCTTTAAGCCAGGGCTGTTCAACTAAATTGCTCCGGGGGCCACGGTTAATGCAGGCCAACAGCTGAGGGGCCGAACATCCAGCAATTAAAGTTATGTTAATAAACCAAAGTTCTGTTACCTTTGAAATAGTTTATTTTGCTGCATTTAATCACGGATATAACATACAGAACCCTATGTAATAAATTTAGTGATAATAAAACAATATCAAAAACAAAAATAACGCATCATACCTCCTATTTAACACAAATAATATTTGGACATCTCTGACTTGCCAACTTTTTAAACCAATTTTATTTTTACTTTCATAGTTTTATCTTCAACTGCTTATAGTTTTAAATGTCTTGAGTGTGCTTAGAAATAGTTTTTACCAGCTTGTAGCCAAGATTCTGACGTTTCTGTAGGTACCAAACATGTCTATGTTTACTTAAAAGAACTCATAGTAATTAAAGTAGAAAACTGGTGGTTTGGGCTTAAGGGATGAATGAACCAATTGGCGGGCCGCATTTTGGCCCGCGGGCTGCCAGTTGAATAGCCCTGCTTTAAGCTGTTGAAACTCCTAATCAATCAACAATGGGAAAGCCCTAGTCCACAACCCTTGCAGTTATGGAGCTTGTGGATTTATTTTAAGGCTGATTGTCAGGAGTTGTGAACCTTTCTGCACTCCAACTCATTTCCTCCTCCTCCTGCAGTCTGTAACAGGGTCACCGACCAGTCCCTGACCTACTTCAAACGCTGCGGGAGCATCTGCCACATCGACCTGCGCTACTGCAAACAGGTAACCAAGGAGGGCTGCGAGCAGTTCGTGGCAGAAATGTCCGTCAGCGTTCAGTTCGAGCTGATCGAGGACAAACTGCTGCAGAGAATCAGTTAGGGCAGAGGAACACACGGTGGCAGCAGACACAAAGACAATAAATATCCCTGAGACAAACAAAACGTCTGCATATCTAGAATGTAAAAAACAAAAAGGAAATCTTGTCAAGAACTGGCAATTTTACCCAAAACGTTTTGCTGTTGCACCTGTTTTATATGTTATTTATTTAAAAAAGACAGTTTATGTATTATATCCCAGCTCTCTCTGTGTGTTTATATAATATTTTCTGTTCAAATGCAAGCTTTATTGCATTTTAGATGAATATTTTTGTATCAGAAAGTATTTCATACTAATATGTGCAAGTATAAAATGCACTGATGTACAGTATCATAAAGCCAAGATGGATAGTATTTGCAAAAGTTGAATTATGTTGCATTTTGTGACTTTATGTGGCCGTTTTTATATTTAAATATATGTGCCTGAACCTTTTTGACCAAGGTACAGTATATTTACTTTTTCCATATTATTATAACATGTTCAGATGAGAAATACTGTGTATGTAGTTGAAAGACTTCAAAAAGTTCTTTGCACTCATACGGTAAATACAAATACACGAATGTACTTCCACATAGACACTCCAGTGTACAGTGTACAAAGCATATTTTTTCACCACTAAAATGTTAACGCTATATTTACAGAGTAATTTTACTAACTGCTTGTGTTTGACTGAGTTTCACTGTACCTTCCCTGCCAGCGGTAAAAGCTCTGCATGCAGCCACGAAGTGTTTACATCCATCAGTAGATTTATTAACGGTTTACCATTAAAAGTGTCTGTTTTACTTCTGTTCGCCCTTAATGGAGCTCCATGTCATGTAAAGTGCAGTGCTGACTTGTGCAAAAGAATAATCAGCAAAGCCAAAAAAATAAGCTATTATATTGTACGAATCCTCAATCACTCAAGTTTATAATATATAATAAATGAGCCAGTTTCTTCCTGTTTGTTGCAAAGCTGTGATTATTTTAGATTTCAGTGGATTTTCAGCTGCGGGATTTGAACTTTTTCTTATATAAACATCTCAACATGACTCTAAACTATCTTCTAAACTCACGACAGCCTAAATAAACGTTTTGAAGCTTTAAAAACTTTATCTAAAATTGAGGAAACAATCTGGTGCGTTTTTTTCAAAAATGAAGAAAAAAGGGACAAAATTATCTGATATGTGGATGTTTGTGAAGTTAATTTAAAAGAGTTTGCAAATTAAATTTGAATTCTTATTGACTGTTTTCTTCTTCTTTTTTTAAACGTCTAAATCAAAAAGAAAAAAAATTGTGTAGGTCAAAGAGACTTCTTCAGTCTGAGAGTTTCAGGCAAAATTCAGGCTTTTAAACACTGCCTCCGTGTGACTGATACTCACATCACATGGCCATCGTTCACAGGTGACTCATACTCACATGACATGGCTATCGTTGACACCTAATTAACACCAATTGTTAACGGGGTGGAGTGATACTGGCAATAGCAGCAC